AGAAAAGTTCGGAAAAATTTTAGAAAATCATCAGTTTTGAAAGAAACAATAGATGATGAATAAAATGAATTGAAGAAATTTGATTAATCCATATCAGTGTTAATCATTATTATTAGTAAGTATATTATAAAATACAATCAATATCATTTGTTTAGCTGATAAAAAATTGCCGAAATTGGTTCATTTAAATCAAGTAAATAGTAATTAAACAAACAATTCGCAATGCATTAATCTATATTAACTTTTCGTGTTGTTATCTGTTAACATAAATTTATAAATTTATCGCTGTTAATAAAATTATTTCTTTGAAATTTTCAGATTTGTATCAAAAAAATAATTTATAAAAGAATTGCTGCCACTTTGTAAAAAAAGTTTAATCATTTCAAAATTTAAAATGTAATTAAAATTAGTAAATTTATGAAGAAATAATTTTAAAATTAACAGAATTGTCTGCAACGCAATGATAATTTCCGCATTAAATGGCAGAATTTTACAGGATAACGAGCAAAAAACCGAAACTGATAGAAGTTTTATTATATTACGCGAATTGGCAAAAGTAAAATGGCTTATTAGCATGTTATTAATTAATAATTCAAATACGTACTAATGCAAGAACTGGAATTTATAAAAGTATTATCTTTGAGAAGTACCTATGTGATTCATAATTAATTTTTAATTTTATTCAAACTTTTCCTGCGTTTTATCATTGCTAATGAATTGTTTATATTACTTGCAAGAAAAGAAATTCTTAAGCGTTCAACTGCAACGGAAACACATTTCCTGAGAAAAAAATAAATAATTTTCTTATCAGGTAATTAATGAAAACTTTAATTAAATGTGAATCGATCGAAAATATTTAATATATTTAATTAATATTTCAAGAATATTGTTAATATAAAAACTGAAGTTTATAAAAATACTGTCTCTGATAAATATCAATGTGATTTCTAATTGATTTTTAATTTTATGTAATCGACAACAATTTTTAATAATTAAATCCATTGCACACATGCAAAATTATGAAAAATATTGCAATACATATATATATATATATATAGTCAAAGTTCAAATATAGAGGATTCGCTATGACCGGCTTGCTCAATTAAAATTACATTAAACAATTTTTTAAACTTCTCAATTTTTCATGGATTATTTTTGACAATAGATATGTGCAATTTACAAGATGTCATATATTAATGCTCAGATTGATCTTTTTCTAATTAATATTTGAGATGAATTGAAAATTCCGATTGCACGATTTAATTAATTACAATAAAATGTCGCTCTTAGCAATTTTTCCTGTAACAAAATTTATGAAAGAAAGAGAAATCAGTGCTTGAAAACTGGCTGCTACTGCTTGTGATTGCTCATCTGTTTGAAATCACGAAAATAGCACCGTCGATCGATAATCGATATTGTTGGTGAATTGAAATTTAAAAAAAAGACAAAGTGCACATATTTCAATAACTGCAGAGCCCAATAATTTGTTAATTCATTAATCATTTAAGGTTTTCACTTGAGTTTTAAAATAGAAATTAGAAGTCGGATTCAATTTTCATTGTAAAATATCTGAATTAACAATTTCACCTTGAATGCCATTTCTTTTTTAAACTTTCTACCAAAATTTCTATCAGCTGAAGTCATAAGCATCTCTTTTTTTTTCTATATTTAAGAAAAATGTTACCAAATAGCTACATAAAAAAGTTTGGCCTACATGCTGTCATGAAAATTTTTGATTTGAATAGTTTGTTGTTTCATAGGCAAAACTGTTATAAAGATTTTATTCTTTATGGAGGGTTGAGTGGTAATATTATATGACAATTATAGTGTCAGTAAATGAAAAATTGTTCCCAATTACTGGTAATTGAAGTAACTGAAGTAATCTTCCCAATTATTGATAATTGAAGTAATTGAAGTTGATCTTCCCAATTATTGATAATTGAAGTAAATCGAAGATGTAGAATGAATTAGACGGTGAAACTGACCATTAAGCCTCACTGTCTGTAGAAAATATGACTGACTGTTGAGCTGCGATTGACCTTTCCATCAGTAAGTTGCACTGTAGGCGCTCAGTGATTACTTGATGTAGTGAACTTTTAAAGAGATCACAAAGCTATTCGATAGATGAAATTAATTGCAACAAAGAATCGTTTAGACAAATAATAGATAAAGCTAATGATTAACCAAGTGATTAACCAATAACGAAGCCATTGAGAATTATTTGAAATTAATTATTTACAGTCAATTGAGATATTGATCAAAGCATATCTTATTTTATTAGGATGTGATTTGTTACAATCATATAACACGGTATTTGATACAAAGGATTTCTATGATATTAAAAAAAAAATTACACGAAGTTACTTATTATCAACTTTTGGAAACAAAAAGAGCTAAACATGCAAGAGATGAGTTTAACATTTGAAAACATTAAAATCATTGATGAGGAGTAGTCTTTGTAGTATTGATTTCCTGACAATATAAATTTTAGTTGCATCAACAGAATTGTTACAAAATTATTTCAATTTTCACGACACGTACTGTTACATTTTTGGTAGTTGAAATTAAATAGCTGATAAAATCGTTAATTTTCATGCAAACAAGAACAGCATAAATATAAAAAACTAAATCTAGTGAAAAAAAATTAGACATTAAATACATGAATATGTGCGAAACATACGGCTAATGAAGAAATCTAAATTATCGTTGTCATATCATTCATAATTCGTTCTGTCACATCGACATCAAACAACATTTGTCATTATTATTATCTTATCAGAAAATAACATTATTGTTACATGTTACTATCGTTACTCGTGTTACATTGTGGTTAATATCCACTACTGTTGCTACTAATATCAAATCACTGTCATCGCTATATCAATCAAATAAAATCATTGTTACCGCTACTATCATATTAGTCATGTTAAGATATAAAATCATTGCTTCCACTGTTATTACACAATCATATTAATATATAAAATCATTATTATCGCTGCTATCATATCAATCAAATTAGTGTATTAAATCGCTGCTATCACCGCTCACCACATTAACATACAAAATTATTGTCATCATTGCTAACATATCAATCATGTTAACATTATTAATTGATAAATGATAAAGTTTAGTACAGTATGGTTTGTTCCATTTACAATAATTATTGCTTAAATTTGAGTTTTCAAAAAAAAAAAAAAGAAATTTCCACACATTCATTATGACATGGAATAAGCCATTGATGAATATAATTAGTTTAAATCATTGGGATTACCATGTTGCATTTCGGGCTATATGTTTGTATTATTTCTCTAATGTTCGTTTATAATCTTTGATCCTTTTTTATTTCTCATTAAATGGAGATGTTGGAAATTTATGTCGCTTTTTTTGCTTTAATACACATTTTTTTGCTTTAATTTTTGCTTTTTGCTTTTTAGAAGTATTTCAGAAAAAGGCGTTAGGCGATTATGTCGAGTCGTTTTGGCTTCCACACTAACCATTTTGGGATATCGGAAGAAGAACTGTAAGTTCCCAGATGATGATTTTTTCTTCTCTATATATCACTATTGTAATGAAATAGAGTGTTGTAGTGCTCTATTTAAGGTGGATTAAAATAAATCAGAATTATGGTTCTTTCTGTACACAGGATAATACTGAATTGATGCAGGATAGATATCATGATTTTGAAACAAATCCACTATTCTAAATTTTGTAATGATTTAAAAATTGGAATTTGTAAGACGGGAAGTTTTCATATATCCTGCAAGTTAATTTTATGGACTCATTGTGATCGGCATCGGTTTCATTTGTCTGTTTGAATATTATAATTTTGAAATGCTTTGATATGTTATTTTAATTCTTCTTGTATCTATGGCATTGGATAATGTACTGATTGATGAGGGAATTTATATGGAAAAATTTGAATCAGATTACCCACAGTAATGGATTGATCAAAAAACTTTTCAAAATTTTTGCTAGCAATATTTATAATCTTCAATGTTGGTTGAAAAGCTGTACAAAGAAAAATGGAATCTCTCCTCATAACTTATTATAAACTTACTATCATTGTAATCTTTATTTACGCTTTCTTTTCAGTGAATATGATGAAGATGATCCATCATGGTTCATCACATCACCAGGTGCAAATGTCCTCCATGGGAGGTATGAGTCAGCCAAACCATTTGTTGAGAAAATACAAAGTCAGCAACGAGCATTTTTGGAACAAAAACTGGAAGAGCGGAGAGAACTCCGTCAAGCAATACGTGAAAGGGTCTTGCGTGATTTTGACAAAAAGTTGAAACAGCATATGGCAAAGTTTCAGCCAAAGGTATGTATATCGACTTTGATAAAATTGTCAGAAAATGGTTGTTTGTCCGGTTTTTCGGTATTGCTCTATTTCTGAAATTCGGACGATGAAAATTATTTTTCTTTCCAAAAGTACACAGTTTCTTTGCAATTTCTTGGTAGGGGAATAAATTGCAAGATGATTCTTTTAATCGAAATTGCAAAAGGAATGATAATTTTTTCGATTCATGAAATTATTGTGATAAAAATCTCTTTTAAAACCATGGATTGAAGGAATAGTCATCATAATTGATAGTTATACTTCCTTCTAGTTGTATGACGTTTATTCAACTCTTGTTGATATAATCTAGAGTGTGAATAAGGAAATATAGATTCTTAACGATTCATGAAATGAGTATGATAGAAATTTATTTTAAGACCACCAACTATTCCTTCAGTCCATGATTTTAAAAGGGATTTTTCTCTAACGAATATTCATTTCAGCCTCGAGGACAGCTAGTATTAGAATTATTTCTTGCACAACAGAAAAAGGAGCTAGAAGAATCTTTCAGCAAAAGACTAAGGTAGATTTTTAGAAACTTTTGTTTACCCGTCAACCCGTTTAATTAGATAATGAAAAAAATGAACAATGGAAAATTAATTTGTTAAACAGGTAATTTCAGGGCAGATAAATGTTAATTTCAAAAACGAAATAATTTAAAATTGGTTTAAATACATGCCTTATCATGGGCTATGTTATACTTCAAAAAAACTTCAATTTTTTCGTAATTATTTTCGTTTTGCTTATTTTAGCAAAAATTATGTTCCCGAATCAGAATCCGTTTCTGGTCCATTAAGAAGTGTCAGTGATTTAATATCACATCATTCCATGTGTAAACCTACACTACTAGCGAAATCGACTTCCACTATATCAAAATCTCAATTACCAGCGAAGACTCCTGCCTCAGTCTCTTCCTTAAGACCAGCAGCTATCATTGATAAAGCAACATCGAACATGTTTTCAGCATCATCTTTAGTAACCGCTGTCAGTTTTACACCAGCTATCAATGCAGTTTCTTCTAATGTTGATCGAGTAATTCCAAAAATCACTGCACCGTCTCCTGTGCACATTGCTTTGACATCGCCCTCACTATCCTATCCAACTGCCAAAATTCAGCAGCAGTCTAGTATTTCGTCTGCACTTGCTTTTTGTCCAAAAAAAACTAGCACAGCTGTCTCTGTCTCCTCGCTAAAAACATTTAAAGGTGGCCATGCGACGCTCACGAGAACGGATTCCGTTTCCTCATGCAGATCGTCAGCTTCAAGAAATACTTCATGGCCTATGCAGCAGATTGTTGAAGAGGAACAGTGTAAGTTTTTTTATTGTTATGAAATAATGATCATATTTTTTGTACGAAATCATGACTTTATTTGAACTTTTCTATAAGGCTGTTTCATGGAAGCCCTAGAATCTTGGAATGACTTAGTTCTGTTTAGCTCTATCAAACGAAACAAGTATCACTGCTGCGGCTAAGGAAAATGAATCGATAGATCAATCTTTGTCAAAATTAAGATCTCTAGCTATAAGTAGCAAAACATCGAATGATGCAGACGTTAAAAGTTCCAGTCAATGTCATCAGATTTATGGACATGAAATAGCTTTCGCCAGAACTTTTATGGCAAATATAGCTAATATATCTGATTCCGTTAAAGTAATTTTTTGCTGTACAAGTTTTTTCTCGAAATTTTCGAAAAAAGGTATTACTTATCACAGCTCTCTTTATTCGATAACAGTAAGTGAATTACATTTAAGATATCATCTGCAGTGTGTTGTTTGAACATAGTTTCTCTATGTAGGCGGGAAAATTAATTCACAATAACTTTCCGAAGTTGAGTAGATTGACTTTGCAAGTTTGCAAGTTACAGTGTGTGAAATTCGAATTGAGTATTCCAGCATAATAGCTTGAAATAGACAATATTATTTATTGACGACCAGTGGTAACTGCCGTTTTACAGGAGATATTATAATCTAGATGCTGATCCACGTTTTCGTTATGTTATAATAGATCATTCGTGTATAGGGATATTGAAAACTTATCATTTAAAGAAGGAGGATTATATAAATTAGAATAAGTAATCTACTAAAAAAAATTTATAGATAAATATATATGTAGATGTCAACATTAATACGATTAAAGCCATAAGATATTTAGATTCTTAGAGTATGCTGAGAATTAATTTACATTCGCAGAAATCATTGGTAAATATGCAACATTTTAATACATGACTTTTTGTAGAATGAACTTAAATGTACGATAAAGGAGAAGATTTCGATATCAACGAAGAAATTTGCAAAACGAACTGATATTGCTCAAATTGTTCGTTTCTTTAGCAATTTGCTCAATGGTTTGACAGTTTATGGTTTTAATGACAAAATGATCAATTTAAAGGATGACACACTGGCTCGTAATTGGGCTATGGCTCATATCATCGACACATATCTGGTAATTCGTTGATTTTTTTCCTTGTATTTTCTTCGACTTTCTATTAATGTCGGGTATTTCCAAATTATTAGATATGTCGCGAAGGATATCTGTTGCTGATTTTTGCTCAATTAATTCGAATTCACTTTACATTTTTTCCAACCATATTTTGAATTTGGAATAGATTTACGGTCTTTTTAACAAATGATTTGGTTTTGCTCATAAAAGAAACTTGATTTTGATTTTTAGATTATAAAAGATATTTATAGAATTTCGTTTTTATGACTGAAGATTTTTATTTGATTTTTCTATGATATTCGGAAAATTTTTACTTGAATCATTTTTTTTATCCATGCTACATTTTTGTTATGTTTATCCGCTTCCGATTCTTTCATGTTTGTCTCACAGTATAGCATTTCCAGGATCTTGTTCCACAGGATGTAGGTCTGTTAAAAGTTGTGGCTGCTGTTCTGGCATCGCTGGCTTTGCCTTCAGTTACTTTTACGAAACTTCTCTATGGAAAATTGTTTATCGCATCGCCTCTTTTGGCAGTCAATCACAATGAATGGTACACTTATTATTCTTGCTTATTTCTTGCCTCACAGATGAGTCTGTTATCTAGAATTGCTTAAAAAGTCATAAAATTTGTATAGACAGGCTAAACCAAATGTATTCTAGTAAGATTTGTGATAAAAAATAAGTTGCAAATTATCACGAATATGTATTAGAGATATCATTTTCATGATAATATTTGTTAAATGGATTTGAACAGTCAGTACTGCTGCCACGCATTATTTCTTCTTAATCGTCTTCCGCACCAAGTTGCATTAATATCCCTCATTTTTCAGCTTAAAATGTATTCTGGATTTGAAAAAGCGTTCAGAAAGATTTGCTGAAGCGATGGTAGCATGGTATAGTCGTGAAATCGCCATCATAAGTTTATTCATTGCTTTGAAAATGTCTAGTGAAAGTGCTGATCTCCAAACAACACCAAAAAATCATGGTTTAGGATTGATGTGGAAAATGATTGCTGTAACAGCTGCTGGTAATTCGGCCTTCGGTGCTGTATTAATAACAGAAATTTTAAAGGTACTGTTTAGTTAAGCTTGTTTTCATTATGTCCATAATTGTAGAAGTGAGATATTAAAATTTTTCTTGGAGTACGAAACATAAAGTAGTTTCATTTAGGTGATTTTTGCATTCACTTTCTTTTTGGAAGCATTACTTCTCATCATATCCATTACTGTAATTACAACAAAATGAAAAAAAGGAAAAGAAACTTTTCTTTGAAACTTCCAAATTGTATTGAAATATGGAAAGGATCTCAAAATCGTATCCAGTCCGATTAAACTGAGTACTGAATGAATGACTTTAAAAAATTTCGAAGTACAGTTTTAACTTTCTCCTTTTAGATTTAATAACTTAAATTTTTAGCAGCATTGGACTATGATGCATAAAGTCTATGGTAGACAAATTGAAAAGTTGATAAACCTAATTAATAGGTCAGTTCTGCCTCAGTGGAGAGCTTCACTTGAGAAAGTTGCAGCAGACGATTTGGAAGTGAATGAAACTATTCGAAATGTTGCGGAAAATTATTTGACATCACTCAGATTTACTATTGATGATTGTTTGTTATCGTTTCGTTCACAATGATACAGTCAAATGTTCAGTAATAGTGACATAATTATATATTTTATATAATGTTGACATAATTATATATTTTATATTTTGTACTTCCTTTCTTATGTTATTCTATTACATTTTTTTGTACTAGGCTGTTAGTTTTTGTACATTAATTGCATTTTGTGAGAATTCATGCGAAGAACTTCACGGAAAAGATACTTGTTACTTTTGTGTTTCGCATCTTACAACTCGTCAGAAAAGTTGTCCAATTTTTCTCTCTTTACATGTCCAAAGGAAACTGGAAAAAATTATAATTGTAAAAGCAGTCAACTTCTTGGATTACATATTTTTTTGATTTCGTAGTGATAAGATTTTCCGGATTGATAATTACAAAACAGAAATTTTAATGGGTGTATATCTCCACTTGTTGCGACTATCGAGTTTTATCGGAATTTTGTTTTGTGAAAAAAGGTTCAGGTCAATGAAGCCACTTTAATCGTTGATAGTTTGTGTTGATGAATATTTCGATAGGAGTAGGGTAGGGATAACATTCCAATTTTTTGTTTGCTTTTTTGAATAACCGTTATCATATGTGTTCGTCATCACAACACCTATTTCACTTTGATCGATTTATGCCTGAAATTTCCTCGATAAATGAATGATGAATGGAATGGAAGGTTGAAGAAAAGCGAAGGAAATAAGTTTATTTGAAATCAGTGAAGACTATATCTACATTTGTTTATTGATTGGTATTGATAGTGATAAGTTATTTAGAATTGCTTCTTTGATAAGTTGTTAATTAACTGTTCACTAATTTTTTGAATTATTGAGGTTTTTTTCCGTAATAAGTTATTTATTTACTTTATATTAGCAAGGAATTCATACAGAATGTAATGGAAATGGCTATAGCAACAAATCATTACCACTTTTAATCTCTATCTTTATTCCTTGTGAAGAACAAGGCGCTGTCTCGGAATGTAAATACAGATTAATTTAAATAAGTATGAAATAACTGATTCCGGAAAGAACAGAAGATTAAAAATGCAAAAAAAGCAGTAATACAAAAAAGAATGAAAAATTAAGGATGAGAAAGATAAAAAAAGAAAAACAGATAGTGATAACAGTGATAAGGAAGCAAACAAAGCATTTTAATGATTTCTTTCCTTTGATATAATGAAGTGATTAAATTTGAGAACTTCATAATTTCATAAACAATATTAAAAAGTCTGTGTCTACTGGAAAAATCATAAAACAAAACAAGGAACGAAGAAAAAAGGTATAATGTACCCAAAAAGTTAACAAATACTTAAGACTAAATTAATTTACCAGCTCTAATAATTATATCAACTATGTATTCTTTAAATGTTAACTTTTTAGTTTATATTGAAATTACATAATTATATAAAAGCACATTGTTTTTCCAAAACTAATTTGATTTTTAGAATAAGTAAATTATTATAGAATAGATATTGCAATACGCATTCCTCAATTTGAGTAAGTATTCATTTGTTTTGAAGAGGTTCTAATTTAATAGACCTTGGTTTAAACTAATAATTTAACATGCTAATATGGGATATGAAATAATTAAAAGAATTCAAGAATGAAAAATTGAAGCAAGCATGACTGCGAGATACTTTCCACATAAAATATCGTTTATCAAAAAAAAATTCTTTACTGTCATTTCATAGCTGAATTTAATAAACTTACCAAATTTCATAATTAATGCTGGTATCAAAAACAAAAAAAGAAAAAAAAATAAATGTAATAAAATGGACGTAAATGTAATAGAAAATATTGTGCTTAAAAACCACCGGCACGGCTATTTTCCATTTGCCAAAAGGTTATCATAATTGATGCTATGTTATTTTTATCAATTTCAGGAAGAGTGATATAGCTGATCAAAGTGATTGTTGATCCATCCGAGGTATTCGATTAATAACATATAAAACGCAAAGTGAAGCTAAATTAGGAAAAGCTTAATTAGGAAAAAAAAAGAAAATCAAAATGCATTTGTTCATTCTGTACTAACTTTCGACATTTAAAATCAATCAAATTTTATTTTTTCAATTATCATGAAAAAGAGAAAAAGAGAACGAAAAAAAAACGTTTATACGATATCAGTGAAGTAAATACTATCAACAATAAAAATATAAGTAGCATTTAAAAGCACATCACAAAATGAATGTGAATTATTATTAGTTTTGTTTATTTTGCCTCATAACGATGCCTTTTATTTTCAATAAAAATTTTAATAAAAAGACTTTTCACTCACCAATCACATCAATAATATCATTTCGAAATGTAGTAATGATAAAAGATGGGCAATATTGATTTCATTTCTGATGCTATTATATTATCAAATAGGTATGATTATGCGAAACATACATTAAAACAATGCAATTTGAGATGAATTATCGAGAATTATCTTTTGCCTTGTTTGATTGAATTCAATTCATCAGAACGATCAATTACTGGAAATAAAGAGTGGAAAAGAGATTACATTTCATTTTTTCCATTAAAATAAGGTTGTTTTTCTTCTCAAATATTATTCAAATTTATTATACAATGATTTTGATATAATTTAGATATGATATTTATGCCAATACAAAATATCTCAATTCATCTATTTGATTCCGATATGCATTTTCTTTTTTATTCCATTATTTCAATATCAGTTATTGTATATGAATTGATTTTAACTTGACAACAATTTTTGTTGAAATATTTTTTAT